ATTTGAAATTTTAATACGTGTATAATAATATTTATTTAAAGATAAAAAATTATTTATTAAAATAAAGAAAACCTGTTTTTGAACATGTTTTTGAAACAAGCAGCCAAAAAATAAAAAATGTTTTTTTAAAGGAAGAAGTTTAGTATAATAAAGATTTAAAAAAAACATTTTTTATTTGCAAATAAAAGCATACACATTTTGCTTTTATTTTATATATATATTTTAAAAATTCAAATATATTTGCTGCTTGATTGAAATAACTAATTCTTTTGCAAGTATTTAAATATATAATTTTTTGGGATTTAGACATTTTTTTCAGTGTAGCAACGGATTCAAACATCCAAAAAATATTGTGTCTTTCAAAATGCAAAAAGATTTAAACTTTTATATAAAATATAACATAAATGTATATATTTATTAAGACCAAGCCTGTTTTATCATAAAATCAATGTAATTACCTTTGTAATTACAAAGTGGAATATCGCACTCATCATCGATAACTGTAGGTTCTAATGTATAACACCAAGGACCCCTTGGATCTCGAGTAGGATTTCTACAATAATTTTTAACAAGTTTCATGGACTTTTCTGGGAAATTTGCATCAGTTATATCCGTACTAATCTAATACCGATAAAATTGAGAAGGTATTAATAATCTAATCTATATGAAATATAAAATGTTAACAACAACAAAAATATTTATAATACAAAATTGTTAGCAATGATTTTCAAGCGTTTCAAGACATATATATTCACGAGAGAAGTTTTTATTTAAAATTGGATTGTATATTCTTCAAACTTATGTAAACCCCTTTAATTATACTCTACATAAAAAAGTGATAAATACAAAAGCATATATAAAAAATTGCGTATTATATATAAAAAAATAGATATTATAATACAATATAATATATACAAAAAAATATACAGAAATAAGATCATCAAATATAAAATTATCGTCATGTTCTAATTCTCTGTCGCAAGAAAAGAAACAAAAATGCAAAAGATACAAATGTTTATGTCAATAAACTAACTTCATGAATTGGTTGTTGGGCAGACCACGATTGGCATCGATAACCACCAGCAGTGGTCATAATAAAACCTTTATACTCGGTTCCTAATTGGGACAGTTTGCATTTGGATAAATCAATACTCGATATATTACGCACTGGAAGAGAGAATCATCGGAAATAATAATCATATAGCTTCGCAGATGGGAAACAAGTAATGCACTATTGGAAAATTTGTGACATAATTCATCTGTTAAAATGTAACAGAAAAAAATGTTGATTATATTCTACAATAGGAAGAGTGAGAATGACTACAGATCATCAATAACATTTTTTCAAGTTAATTATATCATTAAAAATATGTTGATTTTACACAAAATTTATTCTAAATTACTATAAAGTTTGCATTCATTTTGTGTTAAAATGTTAACATAGTCTTAGTCTCACCATTTAACATATCCATATAATGTTAAATTAACACAAAAATTTGTCTGTTTGACGGGACGTCCGATATATGTTAAATTTAAGACAAATTTTCCAACAGTGTGTCAAAATCGGAAACAGTAGGAAGTACCCAGAGAAATATCGATAAATCACTTAATATTCAAAGTAAGAATGTTCAAAAGGATTTGAAAAAATACATTATTGTGTATAAAGATTTATCCTGCTGTTTCCAATTCATAAAATCACATTGCTCCTATTCCCCTTCTAAATTTCACATGACTTTATTACATGAATCTGCGATAATCAAACTTGAAATCTGTAAGATCTGTATTATCGTTGCAAAATATTGTTCGGCATGCATATCGAGCTCCAAGAAGCGATTAATAATAAGCAAATTGTTGTTTATTTGGGAAAAATGTCTTCTCTAAAATATTCAGTTTGTATTCACAGAAAGCTTTTTCTTTTCGGAACTTTTGTCTTCTGAGGCTGTCAACTGCAATATCTTGTCACTTCATCGGTCTGTCATTTTTTATCTCTTTTTATCATTTTATCATTTATATAATCCTCCGTAAATTGAAACTACAACAGTAATCAGATCCATACGTAGCTTGCAATAAATAAGCGTAACTAATATCTACTCATAAAATTGTATATAGGCTGTGTGTATGTGTGTTTCGATTTTCGATATACATCATTCATATACGTTCATTCATGTGTGACGTCATATATGAATGAACGACGCATGATCTAACATAGGGGCGTGGCTTAATTAATATGGCGGCTGCAAGGCAGACAGCATAGACATAGTATATCTAGACCATAGACATAGTATATCTAGACCGAACGTTTGCCTTTATTTAAGGAGTGGGGGTAAAGATACACGTAGAAAAGGACATACTCTGTTTCGTGGGGCACGAAACAGAGTATGTCCTTTTCTACGTGCACCTCGGCTCCCACTCCTCAACACTCGTTCTAGATATACTATGTCTATGGCAGACAGTTTGGCCGGTTAGGGTTATGTAGCGTCATATTTTTTTTATTTATTTTCCTTAGTGAAAATCTGCCAACTTCTGTCATTATTAACTTTTTTTTAATATTATACAACCACAGATGTCTATACTAAACCTAGATCGCTAACTTCGGGCTTTGACATATGAAAAGCTGTGGCCATATACAACTGACAATTTTATTATGACATGCGAACTGTGCGAAATACCGCGGTCTGCCTTGCTGTAGTTCGATCTCCTGCCACTAGAGGTCATGGTATTACATGTCAGATGTCAGATCCCAAATCCCAATATGAATGATTTTTATTATTGCTCATTATTACCAGTGTTGGCAGTGAGAAACATATGGTATTTTTTATTTTTTACTGTATTTTTTTTTAATTTTACTCCGATATATATCATATGGGAATATTCACAACTTGAGAAAAATATTTAGCATTAAAATGTACTATTTTTGCTAGGTTATGTGTCGTCTAATGTTGCTGTGACGATCGAAGCGGTTATATCTCGCGATTAATTTGGATTTCATTCGACTACGGGACAAAGCTGGAAGCGAACAAGATGGGTTTGCTTACGGATCCTAGAGCTGGAACCGGCAAGCTCATAAAATTATTGTTGAGATGGGAGAAACGGTTGTGCTTCGTACTATACGTGGGAGGAATTATATGGTTAATGCTCTTGGCGTCACCGGTATTCAACGATAGTAAGTTCTTGTAAAAGATAAAAATGGATTTACAATAAGGATCACATATACAGGGTGATTTCAAAGATTACTGACAAACTTCAGGAGCATATAGAGGGGTTGGAATATAACAATTTTCGAATAGAAATTCATGGTCTCCGAAATAATCCTGAGTTGGTACACGCCTGACTTGACGCCTCTTGATTATTTCTTTTGAGGGTATATCAGAAGTCTCGTTTACAAGACACCAGTAGATGACCCAGAAACATTTGTAGCTAGAATACTTGCAGCATCTGACGTGGTCCAAGAAATGCCTAGGTATTTGAGAGAGGGTGCCAGAGTTCGACGATGCAATGCCTGCATTGAATGTGGTGATCGCCGCTTCGAACATCTTTTGTAATGCTGTACAGTATTATTATGTTCATGTAACTTTTGCTTAGTTATTAAATTTTGTACAAATTGGGATTATTTCTTTCATTGATATGTTGATCACAATGTAATTTCTTACATTCAAAGAGTTGTACCGACTCAGAATTACTTCGGAGAACATAAGTTTTTATTCGAAAGTTGCTATATTCCGATCTCTCTATACACTCCTGAAGTTTGTCAGTAACTTTTGGAATCAACCTGTATAACTGTGCCATTTCAATTTTTGTATACCAGTATTATTCATTTGACATTTATCTTTTAGATACTTACTTCTCCGAGAATGCCTTGCTGCCTGGATTAGTTACGAAAGAGAGTAATCTGGAACAAACATCAAAGCAATACTATCATGAACTTATTCATGAAATGAAGAGATATCCGGATAGTATGCCTTATGCATGGCTTTCGGCAAAATTCAGCCAGCTTCATTTGGATGTATTTGTACATAATTTCTCCTTGATTTATCCATTCCAAGAACAAAAGGTATGAGGTGGAGCACAATCATGACTACGTAAGATAAATATACGACAAAATTAAATATAAAATACATAAAATTTTACAGTTTATAGGACAAAATATCTATGGCATCGTTAGAGCTCCACGGGCATCCAGTACCGAAGCTATTGTAGTCAGCGTACCATATAGGCCTATTAACAGTATTTATTTAGACACTGCACCTTCGGTAGCGCTGTTACTTGCGTTTGCAAAATTTTGCAGAAGTAAATCTTTCTCTTTAATGTTATATCCCTATTAGACCGTTAATAGATGAAATATTAGAATGTATTTTTTTATCATTATACATGTCATCATCTGTTTACAGAACAAAAGTATTGGGCGAAAGATATAATATTTCTTGTAACAGAACATGAGCAGTTGGGTATGCAGGCATGGCTAGATGCATATCATGGAGTTACTAGTGGGCAAGAGGGTATCTTAATAGCAGGAGACTTATCGGGAAGAGCTGGATCTATTCAGGCTGCTATCAATTTGGAATTTCACACAATGAAAGTTACATCGATCGATGTCAAGGTACAGAAATATTCAAAACATTGACCTGATCTTATATAATATTCATTATATAGTATATGTCTATAAAATCATTATTTTTTTTTATTAGATAGAAGGATTGAATGGGCAACTACCCAATCTAGATCTATTTAATTTAGCACAAAATATGATAGCCAAGGAAGGAATTCGACAGTCTTTCCAACGTCGATTTGATGTTAATTATAGAGATAAATTAAAAAGTTGGGGATATTATTTTAATACATTAATGAGTATGGTAGTAACACAAGCCACTGGGATTCCGACTGGCAATCATGGACTTTTCCACAGGTATGATTAATAAAATATTAAGATGAGTTTATAATAATTGCATTTAGAGATCTCTTACCTGTAATATCATACAAACAAACAAGCAACAGAAAGAAACGCCAGTGTTTATAAAGTATTAGAAAATAATTCATAAACGATTCTAAAAACATAGAAGAGAATGGGTTACTATTTCGAAATTTTTAAACATGCTGTTTTTACATTTAATGCTTTATATTTTAAGTGAGATTAGTTTTTAACAATAATTTTTGTATTTAACAATAATTTGGTTATAGATTTGGCATAGAAGCTATTACATTAGAAGGTTTCCAAAAATCTGGTAGAGAGACGGAAGCAAATTTCTATCAAGTAGGACGCGTAGTGGAAAGTATAGTGCGATCACTCAATAATTTATTAGAACGTTTTCATCAATCATACTTCTTCTATCTATTGCCTTCTACCGATCGATATATTTCTATTGGTAAGAAAAAAAATAAATTAAAAACCTTGAATATATCCTTAATATTTTTATGATTAAATTGCAAATGAATAAATAAAACTTATTTTGCAGGGTTATATATGCGGCCTTTGGTGCTAATAATCGCTGGTGTATTTATAAAGGCATTCTCTATTTGGCAAAGATTGCAAACATCAAGCAATTCAAATGATACGAGAAATGAGCGAAATTCGTTGAACAAGGTAATTTAAAAATTTTTAAATAAGATTAAACTTCTTATTTTTAATATATTAAACAAATTCTATATTCTTAGCACTTTTTTTAGTATTGATTCTATTTCAATGATAATACAAAATAAAAATGTTGTTTTGATTATGACATAATGATATTTCTTCACATTAAGTTAAGTAGCAAATATAAAGTAGTGGAAGAGCAATGTAGAGAAGTTGCTAAAGATACAAAGATGAATAAATTTTTATCTTAAATGTTTTCATTTTGTTGCATAGATTGAAGAATTTGATATCGGAGGCGTCGCTTCCGAAGTATTGTGGGCACACATATTTGGAGTATTAATAATGGCTTCTCCTCGATTTTTCGCTTTAATCGGATCACAAATGTTCCATCTACGTACAGAAGATTCTTTATATGCCAGTTTTGCCCTTATCACCATTCTCACATTGTTGCAGCGCTTTTATTTGAGAAGGTAAAAACAATAAATGATTAGGTTTAATCATGTATTGCTATGCGATAATTTCCATAATACTAATGCTAAAATATAATTTCTAGGTCGATCAAATACGAGAATATATCGCTTGTTTGCGTTATCGCGTCGATCGAACTAGCAACTGCGTTAATGTGCATAGCTATGCATAATTTCTCATTAGCATTATTGACAGCCATTGTGTATGTACCGGTTATATTATTAATAACACCGCATAACAATTCTGTATCCAGGTGAGCGATCCAGATCGATTCTTTTTATCAGAAAAAAATGAAATGATTCTTTTCATATTTGGTTCTACTGTAAATACTTTGATCTCGGCAATTAAATAGCACTATTTTTTGCTTTATATTCAGTAGATTACGCAGCTGTCAATACATCGCATGGATCATACTACATCCATTCATCGCGTCGGCGATCGTTGTGATGGGCTATACGTATCTCAATTTTTCTACCGATTCTGTTGGATCTCTGCTTCTTAGAGGCTATCGCGCTAATAAGCAAGCGCTCGTGTTCAGTATTGTAGACTCCATGATATACGGTAACTGGTTCTACAACGTTACTACCGCTGTTATGTTACCGATATGGTTGTTGTTTTGGAATGTTATGCGTTCCAGCGTCGCGATACCCTTACAATAAAACGATTGCATAACTTACAGTTGAATTTCCATCAATATTTTTCTTTGATCTTGGGAACGATTTATTTCAATGAAAAACTATTACTACAAACATTTTATTGCTCATCAATGAGAACCTGAAGAAAGTTGCTTTCGATACCTTTCCAATAAGCAAAATGGAAAAAGCACGCTTCGAAAAGAGATTATTCTCTCATGAGATTACATATTCATCAGTAAGACGTCAGTCAGTAGATATAGAGTATCTTTTGATAACCCTCGTGGCACTCTTATTACACTGATTTGCTTGACTAGTTTAGAGCGTGCAGCGACACCGAACGGATGTGATTATTCTATTACGTTAAGCATCGACGTATTTCACGGAAACGGAGAGAATGTAACGGTGCGTATGGTCTTTTACATAAAATATTCAACACTGTGAGTTGTGCTGGCATATATTCCGACATTCGCGTTATGTATTATTCAATAGTGGATGATCCTTAATAGTATACATTGCGTCTTCCTTTCTTATTTGCTTGTGACACTCAAGTGTTGCAACAAGTGCCATTGGATGCAATCATGACCTCCATGAACTTTTCATGTATATTTCACTTTCGTTCTATGAAAGTAATAATAACTTTTTAGCTCAAGTTTTTCTAATGATTTTATTATTCAGTAGTTCTTAGAAATTTGTATTGCTTGCAATTTTATGATATAGACGTATATACATTTGTAACTTGTTATATAAAAATTATATATATTGCGTTCTCTGTCTCTCCTAATAACTGTTTTACATTCTGTGTAATCCACCGACTGCGTTTTAAAAATATACAAACGTTCAATAATAAGAATATAATTTTTAGCTCAGTTCTTTATTAATGAAAAATTTAAGAGATATTTACTTGGTTATATGTTAAAAATTTTTTATAAATAGTAAAATTTATTTAAAATTAATCGAAAAAATAAATAAGAATATTTTAAATATTTGTATAAGCATATTTTTATTTTTAATTCACTAGAATATTTTTTTATATGAAATTAATATATCGCTTTTTTAGTTTTTGCTTAAGAAAATACGATATACATTACTTTTAAATAACATTCGTGCTATGTATGTTTACTGGGAGTTCAATTTTGTCTTTTCATCGCATCCAAACAGACTGTTAATCAATTTTTATCTTTGAAGGGAAAGCTGCAATATTTCATATGAAAGTGTTGATTTATAAATATTTGATGCATATTTAATAACACATAGAAATAATTAGTTTCTAAAAAAAATAAGAGAAACAGGTTATATGTACTTACTGAAAAAAATTGATATTTCTTCCTTTAGAATATCTACTTGAACAGCCAAGTATGCTACAAGTCATTGGCATTTTTATTCTTATATGTGCACTATATATAGACTTCATATCTTCAGTTTATTTTTATTTTTTTAAATGTTTTAAACATATACGTTTAAAAAATGGATGAATGACGTTTGAATGATATGAATCGATCGAATATCGAATTCATATCGATATTCTGCCCAATTGTAAATGACTGCCCTTCACATATTCTTATATAAAATATAGCCGTGTTAGCAGTCTAGTTGTCTAGTGTCTAGTATATGATATAGAAGTTTGTGGTAAATTGTCATAACAGCAAACGGACCGAAGATAAATGAGTGCGATAAGATACGGTACATATTTTATTGTGATGGTCATCGCTTTACATACATCTTATATTTTCACAACAATTAGAAAGGGCACAAGGAGCCATTAACGGATAAAATAAAGTATAATTTAAAGATAATTTTTATCTTTAAAAACAATTATTATAAAAGAAAAAATCTATTTTAAAGATAAAAATTATCTTTAATAAAAATAATTTATTATAAAAGAAAAAATCTATTTTAAAGATAAAAATTATCTTTAATAAAAATAATTTATTATAAAAGAAAAAATCTATTTTAAAGATAAAAATTATCTTTAAAAACAATCTATTATAACTTATCGCATGTTTTGACTGCTGTTTCCGATTTTTTTTTTATTCATTGTCAGCCATTTAATTTAATTTATTTTTTTCAACACCGAAGAATCTTAAAACTCTGGCTTTTGGCAATAATTAATTTTATTTGGCTTTTGACTTTAGGCTTTAGGCTATAATTTAATCGTTAATTAACTTATAGTCTAAAGCTGAAAGCAAATAACATTATAGCTATTGCCAAAAGCCAAAAGTTTTAAGTCTCGCTTAAAGTCAAAATAACATTGGTGTAACCAGGCCTAAATTTTCGCGTAGTTTATTATTTCTGGAGCCTTTTTATTATTTTATTTTTTCACATTATCGCAATACGTGTGTATGTACATATTTTGAAGGAGATAAAAATACACATGGAGCAATGTACCAAAAATCATAAACAATCTTTAGTTAGAACAAAATGTATTATATACATGTGTATATATATTATGATTTATTTTTGCATTTTAGTGTAATTAAGTAGAGCTATTTTAATATAAATATAAAATAACATAAACACAAATCTTCAATTAATTTATTAATTATCTGATAATACATATATCATCTCTTTATAAAAATATGTATAAAATGCGAGATAATTGTTATTGCATTCTTATTTATAATGAAGTGATATATATATTAATATGTTATTATATATATTCACGGAATGTATCATACATATATGCTACAACTTTTGGCTAAAATTACACATAAAAAATTTGTGTATGTGCACCATTTCATTTATATATAAAATAAGAAAAATACATATAACAGAGAAAAAACAGAAGCATTAAAAAAGTGATTAAGCAAACGATTCTTAGATTAGAATCTTAAGATTAAATAAGAAATAAGAATATTTGTATGAAGAAACTCATCATTAAAAAATTGTTATATATTAAAAATTTAATTTTACGTTATATTAAGTGTAATATAAAAATTACACATTAATCTAATATTTATATATTTTATTTATATTTAATGCAATTTCAATAGTAATTGAAAATTAAGAAATACTATTAAAGTTTTTATTAAATAATGTAATAAAATAAAACGAATCCGCGAAATTGCAAATTGTTTTGTACTTATTTTTGAGAGGAAGAATATATTTCGCTACTATTTTGTTGCATCGCTCCGTTTGCACCGAAACAAATTGAATACATTATATATACATTATATACACGTTGAGATAACAGACGGGAGTCATCAATTTAATGAGCTATAATTCGCTTGAACGCGATGGAAATTGGTATAAGTAGCGAGACAGAACCGAGTTGTCAATCGCAAAACCCATGAAACTATTCTCGCGTTTAAGGTAACTATATAATAAAGTTTATAAACATGATAATCGAGATTGAAAGAAGAATTATTATGGAAAAATCGGTATATGCATCATCAGATTTATATAATTATAGTATTATTTAATTGTCATATTTAATTTTCAACGAATAATATATGTGATTATATATATACATTGTATTTATCTCTCTTCCAAACTGAAAAAAACAACGATTCTTTTTACAGTCTCGATAGTGTTGCGTAATACGAGGATTGCATTCTATGTCGAGACGAGACAAGATTGCTCAAACGCCTGCTGATACTTATCACAGAGTAGCATCTTATGCAGTATTGAAAATAGTGATACAAAAGTATATCACAGTGAGTTATACTTAAAGAAAGTTAAAAAAAAATATAGGAAAATTTTAATCTGGAAATGGAAAAGAATTTGATTAAAGAAGCATCTATATGCAATGGGAATGTAATTACTAATGGATTTCATAAGGATGATTCATCAAGTGACAACGAGCCAGAAGAAGCACTAATATCAGATACTCTTGTGTTTTATGTGAATGGAAAACAAGTATGTGACAACAAACTTAATTTTATTGTAATCTACGTTGAAATATTAAATATCTTATAATATGATATATCTCTCTCTAGGTATCAGACAAAAACATAGAGCCACAATGGACACTCTTATGGTATCTTCGCAACAAACGTATCCTTTCATATATACATATATAAATCTGTTCTTGCATCAAGTTAATATTGTTGATAATATTGATTAATTTATCCTTAATTACAATGATTCAGTTGGATTAACTGGCACAAAACTTGGCTGCGCAGAAGGAGGCTGTGGAGCCTGTACAGTTATGATTTCAAGATTTAATCGTGTCACTGGAAAAATTATGTATCCTTGATATTATAATACGTTTTACACAGCGACTTAGAGCATTATATTATATATATTCTAATAAATTTATTTCTCCTTAATACACCCTTTATGCAAATCAAAACAGTCATTTAGCTGTTAACGCATGCTTGACACCGATATGTGCTGTGCATGGTCTAGCTGTAACTACTGTAGAAGGAATTGGAAGCACGAAAACAAAGTTGCATCCAGTACAAGAGCGTATCGCCAAAGCACATGGATCACAATGTGGATTTTGCACACCTGGTATAGTCATGTCTATGTACGCTCTGTTACGCAGCATACCAAAACCAACTATGGAAAATCTAGAAATTGCATTTCAAGGTAATATATAGATTTAAAAACCTCCTTTTAATATTTCCATATAATTTCTTTATATAAATATTGTTTTATATTGTTTTATATAGAAATAAATAATATAAGGCAGATTAATTGTATATTTATTAAGTAATATATTCTAGGTAATCTGTGTAGATGTACAGGATATAGACCGATTATAGAGGGATTTAAGACTTTTACAGAGGAATGGGAACAATCGCAATTAATGGCTAATGTACGAGAAGAAAAAATAAATGATACAAGAGCTTGTTCAATGGGCGACGCTTGCTGCAAAAAGGCTTTTACTTCAGAGCCAACCGAGGTTTTCAATTCTAAAGAATTCTGCCCATATAATCCTACTCAAGAACCAATATTTCCACCAAAATTAAAAGTAAATTATTGTGTTTATTTTTAAAAGGATTCTATCACAAATAATATGTTTTATATTATAGTAGAAGTTATGGTATAAAAATACGAAAATTTTTATTATGTAGATTGAATCTAAATTAGATGAGCAATATCTGATAGTGAGAGGAAAAAACGTTAGTTGGTACAGACCAATAAATTTCAAGACGCTGCTTGCCCTCAAAGAACAGTATCCAAATGCCAAAATTGTCATTGGCAACACAGAAATCGGTTTGTATATTTCTTTCTTTCAAATTCATATTGCAATATTGTATAAAAGATAATCAGTTATATATATTACCTGTATATTTATAGGAGTCGAGGTAAAGTTTAAACATCTAGTATATCCAGTACTTATACAACCGACACAGATAAGGGAGATATGTGAAATTATCGAAACGCAAGAGGCATTGAAAGTGGGTGCAGGTGTGACTTTGGCTGAGCTTGAAGAAACATTAAAATATTATATTAAGACAAAACCTGGTAATGCAATAGAATATCTCACGTTTATTATAATTGTATGGGAAATTATAATTATTACAATAATTGTTCAGCTTTTTTTTGTAAATAAGTTTTATAATGATATTAGCATAACAAATAGATTTAAAATGCAATATTCTCTCGATAGAACACAAGACGAGGATCTTTACAGAAATAATAAATATGTTACATTGGTTTGCCGGAAAACAGATAAGAAACGTTGCCGTAAGTGCGAGTATTTGTTTAATGATCTTATAATAACTATACAACTTAAATATAATTTTTTTTCCAATAATTAGGCCGTAGGTGGCAACATAATGACAGGTAGTCCAATATCAGATTTAAATCCGATCTTTATGGCGGCAAACATTAAATTAAATTTATGCAGTTTAAAGCATGGAAGTAGAACGATACCGATGGATCATACCTTCTTTGTTGGATATCGACGTAACGTTGTTTTACCCGAGGAAGTACTAGTCTCCATCGATATTCCCTTCACAAAAGAGGTAAGAATATTAATGTAAAAAGACAATAATTCTGCAAAATATGTGCCAAAACAAGAGGCTGTTCTTTACTCTCTTAGACTTTATTCTTTATTCTTACAGAATCAATATTTTATTGCTTACAAACAAGCAAAAAGACGGGATGATGATATTGCTATAGTCAATATGGCTTTGAATGTACATTTCGCTCCTGATAAAAATATAGTTCAAGAAGCGCATATCGCGTTTGGTGGAATGGCACCTACAACCATTTTAGCAAAACAGACATGCCAGAAGATAATTGGAAAGTACGTATCATCAAATGACAATGCATTAAGCTTTTTGTATACTTGTGTATATATAAATTAATAATTTTAGAACATGGAATAAACCAATCTTAGAGGAGGTGTACGATTCCCTACTCGAAGAACTACCGTTAGCCGATGATGCACCGGGAGGAATGATTAAATATCGTCGATCTCTCACTCTCAGGTACGTTATTAGGTCATGTTAATGATTAAAAAGTAAAATCAAAGTAAATCAAAGCAAAACATAATACGATTAATATGTTATACATGTTACAGTTTATTCTTTAAAGGATTTGTGCACATCTCTAAGAAGTTATCGAACAATATTTCGACTATAGAACGCTTGCCAAAAGAATTAGAAAGCGCATCAGAATGCTTCCATTACAAAACGCCAAAAAGCTCACAATATTACCAAGTGGTAATATTTTGATTAAAGTACTTACAGAAATTATTTTTAAAATACGATAAAAATATTATAACATTTTATAATTTTCTCAATAGGTACCCAAAGATCAGGAATCGTATGATTTAATAGGACGCCCTATTGTGCACGCTAGCGCATTCAAGCAAGCAACGGGAGAAGCGATATATTGTGATGACATGCCCAAATATGCAGAGGAATTATATTTAGCATTAGTTCTCTCCACTAGAGCACATGCAAAAATTTTAAGAATTGATCCTACCAAGGCACTATCCATGGAAGGAGTTGTATCATTTTTCTCCTCAAAAGATATAGCGGAAGAAAGAAGATGGTTGGGTCCTGTATTTCATGATGAAGAAGTATTTGTATCAGAAAAAGTATGTCTTTTCAAACTAAAGTAGATACAAAACATATCTACTTGTCAAAGCCATCAATCTTTTTTATTTTATGTGCATTGAGGAATAACAAAAAAATATGTCTTTTATTTTGAAACTGTTACTTTACAACATATATTAGTGACTGAATATCGGTTTTTGTTTTACATTTAAAATTCGTCCTTTATTATATTTTAATTAATCTTATCCTTTTTCTACTTCTTTAGGTTACGAGCCAAGGTCAGATAATTGGTGCAGTTGTTGCTACAGATCAAAATATTGCTCAGGCCGCGGCAAGAATGGTTGAAGTAGAATATGAAAATATAGAACCTATTATCATATCTATCGAGGTATTCTATACAGAAAAAATAATGATACTCGTTGATCATAATGCAATAATACATAAATGCATTAAACTTTCTTCTATAGGATGCTATCGAGCACGAATCGTTCTTCCCTGGCTTTCCCAAGTGCATCATTAAAGGCGATGCGGAGAGAGCTTTCGAAGAAGCAGATCATATTTTAGAAGGAGAAGTACGCATAGGCGGCCAAGAGCATTTTTATTTGGAAACGAACGCTGCTATTGCCGTACCTCGCGAAGAAGATGAATTGGAAGTGTTCTGTTCCACGCAGCATCCCACTGAGATACAAAAATTAATCGCTCACGTTTTAAATATACACATCAACAGAGTTAACGTACGCGTGAAGCGTATAGGCGGCGGATTCGGCGGGAAAGAATCTCGCCCAACATTACTCACGATACCAGTCGCATTTGCAGCACATAGGTGTGTGCTAAAACTATATAAAAACATATATGGTTTTGCATATACATTTTGTTATATAATAATACGCGTAATTATTCCTGAATATATATGATAGAACAAATATTGTTAAAAGATAAAAGTTATTTTATTCAATAATGTCTAAATTAAAATATATTTCCTATCAGTTCTCTTCAAAGTCAATATTTGCATCAACTTTATGTGTAATAGAAATGTATAGTCGATTTATATCATTGAAAAAGAAATGTGTGAAACGTAGGTTGCAGAAACCAGTTCGTTGCATGCTAGACAGAGATGAAGACATGATGATAAGTGGAACTCGGCACCCATTTTTATTTAAATATAAAGTTGGATTTAACAATGCCGGTCTCATTAAAGTGGCGAAAGTACACATATATAATAATGCGGGCTATTCTCACGATTTATCAATTGCGGTAAGTAACATAGTGGATTCGAGAAAATTGGTATTTATTTAAAAATTTTACATATCATAATGTTTACATGAAAGAGAATCATCATTTCAAATATTTTTAGGTGTTAGAACGTGCCATGTTCCATTTCGAAAATTCGTACAGAATTCCGGTGTCAGAAGTATACGGATATGTATGTAAGACAAATTTACCGTCAAATACAGCTTTCCGTGGTTTTGGTGGACCGCAAGGAATGTTTCTCACTGAAAATATCATTCGACAAATCGCTGATTATTTGGGACTGGATGTCGTCAAGGTAATTTTTAATATTAAACAAACCACAGAAAAGATCTGCGATCTTAATCTTAGAAAATTAATTATATAAAATAATATATGTATGTGTGAAGATCTAATTTATACATTATAAACAAATTAAATTAATCCAAAAAAATTCTATTCTTTCGTGACAGTTATCCGAATTAAATTTATACAAAGAAGGTGATTTAACGCATTACAATCAACAACTTGTCAATTGTACTTTGGACCGCTGCTGGCGCGAATGTCTAGCATCTTCTCTTTATAATGAAAGAATGGTCGAGGTTCAACGTTATAACAGGCAAATATATAGTGATTATCTTCTTCAATTTTGTAAATTAGATCGTCAACGTCTGCTAAAATCGATGATGAATTTTGTAGGGAGAATCGATTTAAAAAGAAAGGTCTCGCAATTGTACCTACAAAATTCGGCATAGCGTTTACTATTTTAACTCTGAATCAAGCGGGTGCACTGGTGCACATTTATATCGATGGCTCAGTGTTAATAAGTCACAGCGGGATTGAGATGGGACAAGGTCTACATACAAAAATGATTCAAGTACGAGTAATATTTGTATTTTTTTCTGATATGATGTAACACATTATTTCAAATCGTATTTTATCTATCTGGACTTTTTTTGAACAATTTAAGGTCGATTTCTCCTCGATAAAGAATTGATGAGAATGTTTTTAAATTAATAAACAATTGGAAATAAAATGTGTTCTTCGAGAAAACTAAGTTTTAAAACCGTAAACAAATAAAAACACTATTTTATTATTAAATAAAAACACACTTATTTTATTTCTCATTATTCTCTTAATTTCATTATCCAAATTTATATGAAAATTAAATGTTAATGTATCAAAAAATAAGAGTGTATATAGATATGTATATAAATTAGAGATCATCCTAATTAAATCTGTTTAATAATTGCAATTAATTCACAGTGATTAAAATTGAAATCCATTATATTATGTTAGGTTGCTAGCAGAGTATTAAAAATAAATCCAGACAAGATACATATTGTTGAAACAGCTACTGATAAAGTCCCTAATACATCTCCTACTGCGGCAAGCGCTGGATCCGATCTCAATGGCATGGCTGTTATGGTAATAATACAATAAATAATATCCTACTGTATGAAACTAGACATATAGACATTAATAAAACTAATTTGCAGAATGCTTGCGAGGAAATCATGAAACGATTACAACCGATAATAGATAGCGATCCAGAAGGTACTTGGGAAGATCGGATAAAGACGGCATACCGCCACAGGATAAGCCTGTCTGCTGCCGGTTTTTATCGAACGCCCAATATCGGGTATTCTTTCGATACTAATTCGGGAAATCCATTTAATTATTTTACATATGGCGTCGCTTGTACGGAAGTTGAAATTGATTGTCTCACTGGCGATCATGAGGTATGATTTTTTTTTTGTTTTGCATTAAAATAAATGAGACTGATCTTTTATAAACATACTCTTGTCTATCTCATGCTCGCTTGGCTCATATAGCATGGATGAAATATTTAGTCTCGTTACATCAGCAAAGTTCTAAAATTCATATCAGATTGTCCAGTTTTAATGTATGTCCAAATATTTTGTTATTAACAGTTTTTTTTTAAATCTGTCATTATTTTTGTCATGTATAAAAACCTAATGAGTAAACAGCGTTTATTATAACAATAATTTCATAAAACGTTTAAATATATTACAGAAAATGATTAATTAATTAAAGATTATTAATATGCTGTATATATTGTGACAAAGATTTCCTCTAAAATAAACATGGATAATATTTTTTAATCCATACAGGTTTTACGAACAGATATTGTCATGGATTTGGGAGAGAGTTTAAATCCAGCCATTGACATAGGACAAGTCGAAGGTGGCTTTGTTCAAGGATATGGTTTATTCACATTAGAGGAAATGATTTATTCTCCAATGGGAACTTTATTCAGTAAAGGACCTGGCGCGTACAAGTTGCCAGGTTTTACCAATATACCACAGGAATTTAATGTTTCCTTGTTAAAAGGAACTTCCAATCCAAGAGCAATATACTCGTCTAAGGTATAATTTTCTCAGTTTTTTCTTTTTTTCAGAATGCATTTTATAAATTAAAAGAGACAAAAATAGAATTGTGTGTGTGTGTGTGTGTGTGTGTGTGTGTGTGTGTGTACATGCGTGCGTGTGTGTGTGTGTGTGTGCGTGCGTGTGTTTGTGTGTGTGTGTACATGCGTGCGTGCATGCGTGTCTGTGTACATGCGTGCGTGTGTGTGTATACATATACAGGGTGCGGCATTTATAGTGACGCGGGCATATTTTTCGGAAACGAAGTGAGATATCAAAAAATGTTTCAGAGAGAGAGAAAATTATAACAATTAAAAATACTACTAAAATATTTAGGCCGTTGGAGAACCACCGCTATTTTTGGCATCATCTGCATTCTTCGCTATTAAAGAAGCAATTAAGGTTGCACGTGAAGATATGAATATTCATGGCTATTTTAGACTTGATGCTCCTGCGACTGCCGCACATATACGTAATGCGTGTATAGATAATTTGACAATGAAGGTATCACGCGTTCAATAGTTTTAAATTCGATTTTCCAACTTTATCTTTACATATTTTTAATACACATTTCTTTGTTTTGTATAGATTACAGAACCTGATTTAAAGCGACAGTGGAATATGGTGCCATGATTTGTGAAATTCTCAAAATAACGCCTTCATAATATTTTTCTAATTATTTTTATATCAGAATTATGAAAATAGCAATTGAATAATATAGAAGTATGACTATATAGGGAAAAATCACTTTTTATTGTTTCATCAAATAATTAGAGCTTTAATTATGTGATAAAAATAAGCTTTACATATAACAGTATATATATATATATATATATATATAATGGAAATTAAGAAAAAAAAATAATTTTGTATAATATGTTCAACACACATATATTAAACATTGCTTATTCCAGATTTTTCGACTGTTTCAAGTAATGTTTGTAGATTAGTTTCAAATAGTTCACATCGAATCGGCATTTCCAATGCATAAAATGGATTTTTTAGTGCATAATCTGCATATAAGTCGTATACTCTTTTCAATAAAATTTCCATGCCTGGTTGTGACGGTTCTGCTACTATCATAAACTTAATGCCTGTCAATGTCTGGAAACAATATAAACGAAATGTATCTGCCTCGAGAATCTCAATCCCGGAACTTCGTGGTTCTGGGCTTAATTGGCTTGCTATAGCAAAGAGTGGATAAAACATTGAAGCTAGAAATATTTTCTCGTTTGTTGTCATTTTTGCCCGACTAAATTTCAATGTTATAGGAAAATTTTCTGGTTGTTCCAACATTTCCAACACATCTCGTCCATCTTCAAGTTCACGTCCTGTGACTGCAACTCCATTCACAGCAGTCAGTGCATGACCCACTAAAATTATTTTATTTTTAATCTTTTTAGTGTATGCTCTGTGTTATAAATTATATATGCTAATACATCACAAATATATATAGAGTGAAAAAAATAAAGCCCTATGTTTTGTAATGTTCTAGACATTGAAATATTGGAAAGTTTATATAAGTATCTAACAACTTCATTCACATGGCTACTTTTTTTACTATGGCTATTTTTTCTAATTATTTTACATTTATATTTTGGTTCCAATTTATAAATTTTACAAAGTATGTTATTGCTTTTCTAAATGATCTATTTTGTATTTCTTTGTTTAATAATTATTAGTTTATTTTTGTCTGGTATAATATTATAATTCTCTATTATTTGTAATAAAAACATTACATGTGAAATATAAAAGTGGCTGACTATTACTTTTATGGATTAGAAGAGATGATTTGAGATTGTTCTGAGATATATATTTCAAAATATTAAAAAAATTTTAATCTCAATTTTGTAAACATATATATTTATATAAAACTTTTATCATTTCAATACGCCGATCAATAGGTACTGCAAAACTTGAGGAACACTTTTCTTCACTCTGTATAATTGCAAATATTATTACAACAAATAATAACGGATATACTTTACCATTTATTCCGTCTCTTTGTCCAAAAACTACTACCACTTTTTTATTTTCATAACTTAATTTAATATCGAGTGGAAAGTTAAAAGACTTTTCGACTTCAATTTTCGGAACATTATGATCGTGATTAAAAATTAAACCACCAGATTTTGACACGATGTAAACACCATATATCACCATTTTTACGTATGTGTGTTTTGAAGGTTAAGTATATTCATCAGACTTTTTGTATGTGTGTATAATTTTATCGCATTTAAATCAATTTTACTATAATGATTTATATTTCGCCACAATGCCCTAAATAACTCGGACTTTTTGAAAAATTTTACTTTTTTACCATCATTACTTTCAAATATGCATTCGCGTGAAAGATGCTTACTAGAGCTGTTTGTAGCTGCGTGCGTAATGACAGTTCGTGATAGTTGACAAGTTGACTCACAAATGCAGGTAGCATATTCTTAGTAATATAAATTCTGATATACAAAGTAAGACAAATAAAACATTACAAGCCAATAACTCTAAAAATATTTGTCAAATCAAAAAGTAAAATCAAAACGAAATTTTATTTAACCTAACCTAACCTAAACAATAACATTTCTGGGGTCACGCCGTCACGCCGTCACGCGTCACGCTGGAGCAAGCTTCGTAGAAAGAATTAATAAGCGTTTAGAGTTCAGATGAGAATGGACAGTTTAAACATTTAATATAGTAAAAAAAAAAAAAAAGGAAAACTATAGTCTTTCATTTAATTTATGATTTTATCATTAGTTTGAATACATCCTACTTTAAAGTTTAAATGCTTATAACTTTTAATAGAAGCATTTTTAAACAAATGTTTCAGATAAAATTTACTTGGTTTTTTCCCGTAGTATCTAAATATGTAATATTTTATATAGGGAGTTCCATTTGAAATTATAAAGTTATCCCCGCCTCCCTTAAAGGGGGAGAGGGGCCGACTTTATGTTTACGTAGTTAGAAAGGTCCCT